TACGAGTTTATTTACGTATACCACGGTAGGTATTAAGGCTGGGCATTTACGAGTTAAGGAGTTAAAGTTAAGTTAAAAAGTGAAGTTACTTTTAACTAAGATAATTAACGAGTTACTTTTTTTAGAAGTAACTTCCAACTTAACGAGTTACATTTGTCCCCGTGTTATTCAGTAACTTAACGAGTTAATTAATTTTATTGGCACGTTAAGTTAATTTTTTCCCAAACCACATATTTAAAATAAATTCAATTTTGTAAAATGAATTATATAAAAAAAACCTGAAATATTAAATATATTTTAGTAAATAATAATTTATAATAATAGTAAGTTATTATATTGCAATTGCATATTCACGGAAAAAATTATATAACTATATTATGGACGGAAATGTCATAGGGGTAACCACGTCATTAATAAAAAAAAAATATAACAATTTACTCAGTATCTATCCCATACACGAGATATAAGTGATACAACCTAACCTATACCTATACCATTATTAATATTATTACTTATTATTATTATATTTTATGGAAGCTTTAAAAAAGGTAGGTAGGTATAATTATAAATTTCATTTAAAAAAAAAAAAAAAAGTAACATATTTTTAACTAAGTTACTTTTATTTTATAATTAACTTGTAACTTTTAAAAGTTAAAAAATTAGTTAACTTGCCCAGCCTTGGTAGGTATATTACTCTGGGGGCCGACGTCGACACATAGTCGACCGACGTAATTACGGAACCGATATCGCTCGGGCAACGCGCACCAAATACTGCGAGGCACTCGACGTGTTAAAACCGATCGGTATGGAATCCCCTCAACAATCAAAAAATTGCGTACAAGCGTACCTCCTATGTGTAACCTGGGTAGAATATTATACTGTAGATTATGGTAGATAATGGTAATGTAAAAAAATAAAAATTGTGTTAAAATTATTTTATTCGACTGAACGTTTTATAAAAAATATATTATCAGCGGTGGGTTTGTATATAAAAAGTGGGTCACTGTATAATGGATGGTATTAAATTTCAATTCAATGATATAATATCATAAGAAAAACGATTCTGAGCGGAGACGGTAGTCAGTCTAGGTGTAGGACATATTACATACATATCTATGGTATTAAAAAAAAAAATTGACCAAATTCCAAATTAATCATATCACAATATGGGACTAATATTAGGTACTTATAAGACGTATACATCAACAACAAACGGTGATACTATCATAGGTATATAATAGTACACTTTAGAAGTTTAAAGTAGGTACCCACGAATAATATTATATAATCACAACAAAATAACTAGGTTTTTTAATATGTAATTTCGTCCAAATTTGAACATAAATGACTATAAAAATAAACTCTGATTGTATATTTTTTAGATTTTTCGGCAATAGAATTAACTACTTACTTGGAATTTTTTTTAAAATTTTTAATCCTTTGATATAAAAGTTGAACATTGTATACATTTTTAACTACAAAATAATTATTCAATTTTAAATTTGATAAATTTTGTCCGAAATTCGATCTTTAAATGCTTATAAAAAAAAATGTTGCCTATGTATCCATAATATTTTTCAACTGCTATTGTAACAATATGTCAGGAGCCTGGTATTACATTTTTACACTTTTTGGCCCAACAGATAAAACTTTATTGATATTTATAGAAAAAAAAAAAAACTAAAAAATTAAAAACTGAAAATATCCGTAAACAGCACAAAACAAGTTAAAATATTTTCAAAATTGTATGTTGTAAATGCTAATATAAACACTCAGTGAAATTTTCATGTATCTATAGTTATTCGTTTTTGAATTACAATAAAATAAGGAAAATGAGAAATCGAGTGAATATCCAATGTTGTAAAAATTTGAATTTCAAACGCTCATAAAAATTGAATTTGTCTTTCTTATAGACATTTTTTTTTGATAAAGGTATATAATCTTATGAGGAATCTTGTATTAAATTTTAAAATCTTAGATATAAAAAGAAAAATTTACGATTTCTCAACTCAAAATAATTTGCTCATTTTCGTAATTTTTCCATATTCTGTCAAGATTCGAACTTTAAATGATTATTAAAAATAAACTTTGACTAAGAATTTTACTCAATAAATACATTTTTATTGATATTCAGAAAAAATAACTAATAAAGTTGGAAACTGTAAATGTCCTTAAACAGTTCAAAATAAATCAAAATATTTTGAAAATTTAATCGTGTGTAGAAAATGCAAATATAAACAATTTAAAGTTACACCAAAAACCAAATTCTATTTTGAGGAAGAATTCCCGTTTTTCCTTAGTTTTTCTTTTGTTTTTCTTAGTGCTTTTGAAAATTACTGTGCATTTTAAATTTTGACCTCTCCAATGCACCAATATTCACATTCCAATCGAACAAGATACTGAATTGGAAAATCGAAGCATTATTTCAACTACTTATCGTGTACACAGACACAAACAAAAATTTAAAATTTAAAAATTTAAAAAAAAAACACACATCATTGTAAAATCAATACATTTATCGTTCCACTCAAAATCTAAAATTACCTATCAGTAGCGTACATACAAATTATTTTCACTATGGGCCGATTTATCACTATAGTCAGCCAGCGCGACTAACATAGCCAGGAGCTGGGTGGTTATAAATACAAATAAAAATTGGGCAATTAAATTTTATAATTATTATGTAAATTTCATTTTTAATTTGTTTTTAAAAAATTGTACAATTTCATACATACATATATATTTTAATGTTATTTTATTGTGAATTTAACACATATACAAGTCATCAAAGCAAGTCCTGACAATCCAACATGTCCTCGTTGATTCTTCAAAATGATTTTAATCAATCGGCTAAATTAATCATGGTGAAAAACTGTAAACAGTGTAGAATTACAGAACCCGATAGACGACTAGATCGAAAATTGTGCCTAGGTTTCTAAATTTACTGAATAGGTGCCTACATAATATACACACGCATGCCATACAAATATACAATTCCATAAATGAATGAGTTTTTCACCCAAGTCTAAATAACCACCTATTCAGCACACCACATTCACTTACCTACCTATTGTAAAAATATTAACTTACAGATTGTGAAGTATATTTATAATGAACAGATAAAAAAAATTAAAATATTTTTTACTTTTTTGATATTATAATTTATTTTACTTTTTTTAAAAACAGCATAAATGTTTTATTTCTTATTCTGGAGAAAAACATTGTTATGACTTTACGAGAAATGAGAATTTCAATATACAAAATCGAACTTTGTTTATAGTATCAGTTACTTATACCTTATACACAGTAGGTACTTGCACAATGGTACTCGATAGTAGCGACTAGCGACGTTATTTTATTTGTAGCGATTAACGCATAGCATAGCTTCAATACACATAATTTTAGCTAAATATCAGCTACTGTAAAATAGATATTCACGGTTAGCGTATCGACAACTATCATTTATTTTGAGTTACCTACAAACTATATGGTAATGATTAAAATATTATGATACCTAAATGATAACCATAGGCACAACTAGATCTATATTTTTGAGGGTGCACAAATTATAAATAATTCCCAGACCCCCAGACCCACACTCTATAATTCTATATACAGGCTATAACAGGAAGATCTGACAAAAAAAAAATTACGCTACTTCAACGTATGAAAAATATTATTTTTTTTTTTAAAGCTTTTACATTCTAAATTAATTTACTCAAAATAATATTAATATTTTAAAATATTCTAAAAAATTATCTACTTGACTTCGATAAATTTTTTTACCATTAAAATATTACCATAAAATTGTATTGATATTTATAGAAAAAAAACTAAAAACATTGGAAACTGAATATGTCCGTAAACAGCTCAAAATATTTAAGAGAATTATGATAATAAAAACACCTATTAGCAATATATTGTATAAAAGAAGTATAAAAGGGAGTTCTGAATTATAAATGGGCCTATGCACGGCGTTGTTCGTCGGTAGAACACTAGTAGATACCGAGAGTCTAGTTGGGTTTCGTTAGGTTTAGTGAGGTTTAGTGAGGTTTAGTGAGGTTTAGTGAGGTTTAATCTAACCTAACGCTTCTAACGTTATTGGCCGGTATTATTATTTAGATTTAAATAATTTCGATAATGGCAGCGCCATCTAACGTCGAAAATGTTTAATACTAAGTCGTTTTTGAAGAAATGGCCCTCGCATCTGCTTAATTTCCTAGTTAGATAGCGTTGTTATATACAATTTACAACACGGACATCATTTTAATATTTTTCATCTGCCTTTGAAACAATATACTAGGAGCCCTCTATTAAATTTTCAAGCTTTTTTAACGAACGAATAAAATTTAATTGATATTTATAGAATAAAAAACTAAAAAAATTGGAAACTGAAAATGTCCCTTAATAGCTCAAAATAAGTCAAAATATTTTTAAAAAAAGGCATGGTTTATAGAGAATGCTAATATAATTAATAGTCAGTAAAAATTGCATGTATCTATCGTCATTTGTTTTAGTCGTTTTAGAGTTACACAAAAAACCAAAATCGATTTTCTCGAAAACAGATTTTGAGTGAAAATTATACTAGGTACCTACAGAAATACTAAACACCTCATAAAAATATTCAGTTATCTAAATAATAAATATTATGGTGTTAGAAATATATGTTGCTGCTCAAAAAAAGTCAGACTTAAGAAATAGATAACGATAAAAGTAGCAATCAATATAATCGGTACAATTTGTATTGAAATATGTTGTTTTGTAATTATTTAAAATTATGCAATAAATAAATATATTTCTATAAACGTTCAAACTTTTTGATAAAATGACTTTAAAGTGTTTACTATTGAGAGATTCACCCTCCAGAAGGTTACCTATTTTTAGGGCTGAAAAACAATTTAAATAATTTGATGTTTTAATGTAATATTAATGCTAATTTTAGATCAATGGCTATGGCTCACATCCGTTTTATTTATTAATGGAAAAATCTGGAAAGAGTCATGGAGTTTTTTTTATTTAAAAGCAATGCTATGGGTAAGTGTAAATGCTGTTTAACACAAAAATACTAAATAGTACATTTATTTATATTCATTATTCAATTGTGCATAAATTATTTCACAAAATACATTTCAATCAAATGTATTTATAATATTTTATATATATATATATATATATATTTAATACCTATATTACCTCCTGCAGACATTATATTGCAGCCTGCCCCTGCAATTACTTATCGCGTAATTGGCGGAATTTTGGATTTTTATTTTTTTTCCGGACCAACACCTTCTGATGTTATTACTCAGTACACTGAAATTATTGGCAGAATATTTTTACCACCGTATTGGTCTTTAGATTTCCATTTGAGCCGGTAAAGAAACTATGTACATAATATATTATATAGTAATAGAATGTAAGTACTACTAAAATTTTTTTTTTTTTTTTAGATATGGGCAGACTTTTGAAGATCTCATTCAAGTTTATAATAGAACCATAGAAGCTGGTATTCCTTGGGTATAATAATGATGTTTAATATAAAATCATTAGATAAATATTTTAATAAGGCACTGTAGATATACATGAAATGGTTTAATTCAACCCGTAATTTCACTATGGGCTCTGGCCTAGGGGGGCTCCCCCCAGTGGCGTGGTGAACATTTATAAACCTTGATGCCCAGCATATATGCCTAACCTATGTAACCGATTTTGATAAGATTATGCTCAATGTTTGTGATTTGGTCCAACTTAAAATATAAGTCAATAGTTATTTCAATAATTTTACCTTACATTTTTTTTATTAAACATTTAAGAAATTATTTTGATATTTACGATTGATATTTTTGTTTACTATTGCATATTGGTTACGCGTACATCTTATACGGTATTATTATAATTAATTGTTTTAAAATATTTACTGCGATAGTTATTGATATAAAAGATTTTTTTAATTAATTTCTAAAAGTATAATTTATAGAGCAACGAAGTGCACGGAGTCGGCTAGTTATAAAATAACTTAAAAAAATAAATACGACATTGACGAATAAAATGTTATTATTGTAAGAAAAGCCACTTAATTAATGTAAATTACTGTTCTTGTTATCAATGCTTTCAAAACTAACTCAACAGTTGTCTTACAAATAACATAATCGTTTTATTACATAGGTACTTTATTACTCAAGGGGACGTTACAGTGATATTTGTTGTCTCCGTCTCACAAGTGGGTAACATAGCAAATTTTACGATCAGCAGAACAAGTTTATCTTCGTTAGTTGAAAGAGCGAATTGACCTCCTAGACAATTTAAAGGTAACATTATTATCTAGACAATGACTTAGGTTTTTTTTATTATATTTTAATTTTAAAGCGAGTTAAATGTATTTTAAAATTGTAAACTGTTTGTACATCTTAAAATACTCATAACTTGCCCTAAAATTAAAATATAATAAAAAAACCTATGAAATTGTCTAGATAATAATCTCAACTTTAAATTTTATAAGAGCTCATTTCGCTGTAATTTTTAAACTAACGGAGATAAATGTGTTCTTCTGAGCGTAAAATTTGCCATGTTACGTACTTGTAAGACGGAGACAACAAATGTCACTGTAACGTCCCCTTGAGCGACTCAAACTCAAAATATGACATTACGATTTACAATGATGATAATAATAATAATAATACTGATCAATAATTTTGTCAAACTACATAGCTGAAGACACTAGTAAATAATATAAAATTACTATTTCACATATTATCTCAAGATTTTAACGTAGATACACTTGTTGCAATAATAATAACATAATTTTATGAACGGGCAAGGCACACATTGGAGTTATACCAGGGCGTACGAAACTCCCCTAAATTTTTGTAAATTCCCCTAAAACTATTTTGCTACTGTATTACGCTTGCGTAAATTCCCCTAAAACTATTTTGCTACTGTATTACGCTTACGTAAATTCCCCTAAAAACATTTTACTGTTTAAACACAGTTACTACCTATTTATTTATTAAAATTTCAACATCGCAAGGGCATAATTATGATTAAATATTATGATATTATGATTAAATATTTGCTGAGATATTAATATAAGATATAATATAATTATATAATATATAGATATTAATAATAAGTTAAAAAGACGACAACAATTATTAAATCAACTAATACAAATTTATAAAGATCAAAAAATAACTAAATTTCAACGCGGGGTGTCGCGAAAACGAGCACCTACTGATGTGTTTAATTGCCACGGCAATCGGCAACCACTCGCGATCACGCGGAGTGTTAAACAAAAACACGCGCACGGCGTAAATAACGGGAGCGACAACGGGATGTATCACTCATCGTCGGAAGTCGATCACGAAGGAACCGACGGACAGTTGGCGTGTTCACACGCGACTTTTACCTACTTCACACTACACACCGGACGCGTATAGCGACAGCGAAAACGCGAAATGTAAACTTGGTCGTAGGCATAGGCGTGTTTACGGGAGGGGCCGGGTGGGCACTGGCCCCCCGGCCGACTGTGCCTCCAATAAAATCATGTCAGGATAAAAAAAAATTTGTGTGGTGTGTACCCTGCAGTACCTAATACCCATAGATTTTGATTGTAACTTTTTTAGTTACGCATTTATTAATTTCTGATCACAGATATAAAATTTTAAACAAAGTGATCCAAATCCAAAAGGAAAAACCTGTGGTGAATGGATTAAGTGGCTTACAGTTCATGGTAGAGAGGATTTATTTTCAAATGTATTCAAAGCCTTTAAAATATTCGTAACTATACCAGTTACAAGCTGTTCATGTTAACGGACATTTTCCAAACTAAGTTTTATAAAAAACAAACTGAGGAGCACTATGAATCAAGATCGCCTGGATGGTTTATTAACCATCAGTATCGAGCAAGAACTGTTAAGAAATATTAACTTTGATGATGTCATTGAGACTTTTAAAGTATTAAAACCATATAATAGACGAATGGATTTATAAGCACTTTATTTCAATAAATTATATCAAAAATGTATTATGTATCTGTTTTTAATTTAGTTTTAAATATATTTTTTATTGTTTTATCATAATTAAAAAATATTCCTACCATTGTGAATTTTATAACATGAAAAATTAATGTTTCTTCATGTCTAAAAAAAAAATTAGGTCTTACAATTTAAAAATTTGCTGTGCCCCCTCGGCTACCAAAGTCTGAACACGCCTATGCGTAGGTACTGTGATCACAGCTAATGTGGCCTACCACACTTCGTGATCACACGAGGGTGGCACGTACCTCGGCATTGCAATAAACGTGACGCGTCGTCCGATCAGCGGTACGACGACTTATTAACGTATAGACGGGACGACTTAACAATAAAACGCGTCTGGTCCAGAGCGGCACGCCATGCAAGCGGCGACGGACGCGACATGCGCCAAGTTCGACCGCCAGGAAAAGACACACGACTTGGAGGCGGCACAGCCTACGGCGGCGAACGGCCAGGAGCTGGACGGCCGAGGAGGGGGTAAGCCACCTCCGTGAGCTTCGGCATCCGAGGCGCAGCTTTGGGGACATATGCCGAAACTACGGTGGAGCGAAAACGCGTCTGTGTTCGAACAACAACACTCCAGTCATTAAATTTTAAACAAGTGTTGTAAATATTATTTAACTATATACGAGCTCTTATCGAAATACTATTAGAATTCAACGATCTTATCGTAGTTGCAGCAAGTAGGTATAAAATGTAAAGATTACCGTCCCAGAAGCCCATCAAACCCCTCAGTATCACGATTTTGTTTTGCATCGTATGTAATCGCTTTTTTCAGAATATACAGAGAGTAATGGAGATCCAAAAGTTTCATAACGTCATATCAACCCTCTCCCGCGCTCGTATACTTTTATGGTGGATAGAAGAAGTCTTTCTTAAAATTACCAAATAGTTTTTCAGAAATTTCTCCTAAAGGCAATAATTCTTCGAAATCTCAGTAAGAATACCCGTGTTCTATTCTCGGTGGAGATGAAAACTTTTTGTATATTATTATATTACAACTTGTCACTAGTTGTGATACAGTCATAGAGAGGTCTAGACAATATCAACGAATATTGTTATTTAAGTATTTTTTGGCATTCTTTTCTACACTTTCTTAGTAAAATTATAATCTCTCTGGAGCTTAGTATAGATTAACGAAATTGTTGAGCTCTTTTGGTGTTTTTCTGGTTTTTATATTATAGTATAATATGCTATTTGTCATTTTATTTTTTAGACTTAAATAAATTGTAGTATTAAGTAGTTGATCACATTTTTTAATCACTATAGAACTGACTCTAAAAATCTCATTATTATTTCTATGCACTAGATTCTGATTGAAACAATGAACGTTTTGCTATTATTAAATTATGTTTTTTCATAGAAAACCGAATAGTGTCATGTTTATTGTTTATGCGCCGTAAAAACAATAGATTTTCAATAACTGTATTCTCATTCCTGGTTAATTTTGTGTTGAATTGTGGGCGATCATGCTTCTGTCCGCTTTTGGATAATGTACCAAATAACACCTTTTGACTTTTTTTCTGGCTTCGAAATTGAATGGCAGATGTGAAGATCTTAGCCGTGACCATTTCTTTTTTATTAATTCCGTCTTCTGTCGGTTAGTTTGGTGTTAACTGGTCTTCGCCGCGCCGTTGGCAGAAACCGGGATTTCAAACAGCGTCTATGAATCTTAAAGTGTAAGTAATAAGGTCTTGATGGTTTGGTTATTGAAAATTAAGTGTAAAATATACTTGTATATGACGTGATGGTGACATAATGCGCCTATTAACTCGTTTAAACTTGACACTAATTCGTAGGAGATGTGAGGAAGCAACTGGACCGCCTTAGAAATGTATTGCGTGGTTTAATGCTTAAGGCTCCTGTTGATTTTGGTCTTTGTTGGGATTGGGCTGAATTGGTTTACTATTGAGTAGGTAACCTATTTTCATAGGCGGAAATTTGCCATAATTTTAGAGGGGGCTAATATTTAAAAAATACTTTACTGCATATCAAAGCCTTTCTTAGCACTTGAAAATATAATATTACAGTAAACACCATCCAAAACTAAGCATGATTTATTTTAAACATACTATAAGTGTCAAACATTTACTCGTTCATATACTTGAATTTTAACTTTAAATATATAAGAAAGATAACATAAGTTATACAAATTTTAAAGACAAACAAAATTATTAAATATTAATTTACAGTAACAACCTTATTATCTAGTTATCAGGTATATTAAAATATTTATTTTAAAATAGGTAATATATCTATTTTTTTGCAAATGGACCAGTATGATTTCTCTATCAATTGTTTCGGAAATATCTTTTCTATACTAATGATACCTAAATTGTTGAATCTATTTTGCAATATAGATGACCTCAACCATGTTGTATTCTTCTCATTGCTGAAAAACTATATTCACATATAGATGAACTTATGGGGAAAGTAAGTGAAACTGGTATAAGATTATATATGTTTGGATATATCAATCATTAGGAAGTA